CCACCTCGACCTCCGGGGTGAGAAAAGCTGCTCCGGGTGCCCCTGTTCTGCTGGGGCCCGTCTCCAGCAGACCAGAGGCACCGGGAGCAAAGCCGCAGTGGCAGCGGGGTCTCGTGCCTCTGAGGCTTTGCCAGAGCAAAGTCTCAGAGGCGCGGGACCCCTCCGCCTCCCCAGCTTTGCTACGGGTGTCCCTGGTCTGCTGGAGACGGTCCCCAGCAGACCAGGGGCACCCGGAGCAGCTTTTCTCGCCCCGGAGGTCGAGGTGGCAGAACCACTGCGCTCTGGGTGGTCCCGCTGCCTGCGAGCTCCGGGGCGAGAAAGCCCCGTTCGTAAGTGCAGATCCGACGTAAGTCGGGGACTGCCTGTAGTCAAATACACAGAGGAAATTGCAACCCTGAGATCCTGCATTAGAAGCTGGAGGGTTATGCCAGGGATAAACTAGGCTCAGAATGTTCTAATTTACTCACCTTTGCCACAATAACTTCCTTCTTCAAGATTTTCATAGCGTAATATCGTCCAGTTGCCTTTTCTTTAACTAGAATGACCTTCCCAAAAGTGCCTTTCCCCAGTAGTTTAAGGTATTCAAATTCATTCATGGTCTGTTAAAGATATTCAAGTTAAATATAGGTCATGACCAACTTTGTAATACATGTAAATAGTGACTGAAGTAGATGACCTGACAGGTTGGGTCAGTTAAAATGAGGCACATACTCCTTATGATTTGCTTCTAGAGAATTAAAATTTAAAAAAAAACGTCAGAAAGAATGACTGTTACGCTTACAAGGATAGGACATTTCAAAACCCACTGAATTGCTTAATAAATGAAAAAACTATCTTCCATTTAACTGAGAATTTCTTCACAAGAAATAGGCAAGAGCTAAAAGTAGTTGTTTGGGCCATGCAACCTGTTTCAGTGAGCAAGCTTGAGAATGCCACCCACTTCTCTATCCTAAAGATCTGTCAGTCTGATTCCTGCTTTGAGGTTTAGACATCAGAATAAGTTTCCCCATATATATGAGGGATCAGCCTTGCTGTGACCCATGGACTGGACCAGAAAAAACCACAATGAACACAGTATAGTTTATCTTTCTTGTATGTTTGTCTATTAGAAAAGGTGGAGGGAAAATAGGAAAGGGTTGGTCTCTTGGATTCCAGTATCTTCAAGGGGCAGTGCCAAGGAGGCAACAGAAGATCTAAGTCTCCAGATTCTCACAACTGCTTTGCTGGAAAGGATTAAAAGATAACAGCTCTCTTGATCCCTGTCTGAAACCATGATGACTCTACTCCCATACCACATTCTCTTCTAGGACTGGGTTAGTTCACTTTGAACTGCATTAACAAAAGCAAGATTGTACTCTCGGTTGTGTGGGACAATTGGTTTCAAGATTTAAACAGGGGTAGTCAATATTTGTTTGTCAAGGTCCAAAGTTCTTGGTCAAAGTCCAGACTCCAGAGGCAATCATTCAAAAAAAAAATAACACCAATAATGATAATAATAAGTAAATACAAAGATGTTTATGTCCATTCAAAAGCATCGGGCAGTTGTCTCAAGGACCTACTGACCACCCTAATCTAAACAGTCATCAGACCAATCCTTGCTCAAATTGCATGAGTTCTCTACAGCTGAGGAACTCTCCATCACCTGCATGGCACACTGGCCAAACTAGTACAGTCCTTCTCACATTCACCTACTGGAACCCTCCAGCAAGATACTAAGGACCAATCAGTGAGGATCATATTAAGCTGATGGCAGCCGTGGTTCAGAGTGGCATATGGATAATTGCCTAGGTTGATATAAATTAATTTTGTACCATAACTAAGCATCAAAGCCTAAAGTGAATGTTCATTAATGATGAAATTTGTCAGGCATGATATTTTTGCTGTCCATCATTTTGGTTTGTTTCCCCAGAACTTAGGCACAACTCTGGAAACAAACCAAAGTAAGAAAGGCAAGGGCACACAAGAAAGCCTTACTATAATTTACAGGGTAGGACCATCTCACAAACAAATACTGTATATAGCTATAGGATGAGGTGGGGGTTGTCTTAATGGCTGCTTCTCACTTGCATTCAGGATACCTAACCGTACTCCTCCTCTTAGAATTATTCAGGATCTAAAGGATTGACCACTGATGCTGGACTCAAATGCTGTAGCATCAGGTAGGTGTGCACATGTAACAAGGTTCCCTTGAGAGAAACAGATCCTGCTAAACTAACTTACCACTTTATGTTTTGGTTTTGTCATAGAAACTTCCATTTCTTCAGCACCTGAATTATCACTTGGGGAACCAGATCTAAAATCCATCATTTCCTCCTCTTGTTTCTTAAGGCTGTCTGCTACTGTCTGGATGGCTTTTGTCCATTCTTCCCTGAGAAAATGTAAGCAATGACATTTGTTATTCATGACCTTGGATTACCATCTGCCTCAGCAAGAGTCACAAAAGAATAAAGAGTGATTGACATTATCAGATAAATCAGTTCGATGAATGGTGAAAAATCCCATGTGTTGTTAGATGTAAAAGTGTGTGTTCAAAAACACTTTTAATTGATATAACAATTGTTACCGCTATTAATTGTTTTAGAAACTGGAGATGATTTGAGACCCTGCAATATGAATAGTATAACTAGGACCTTCAATATACACAATTTCCAAAATGAACGTTCAAGCTTTAGGGCAACATGCTGTCTAACGATACACACATTACATCTCAACGTTAGGTCTGCCAAACCTAAAAAGCTACAAGGCACCTCCACAACACAGAGCTATTTGACACACTGGATTTCAACAGTACATTGTAACAAAAATATGGAAGAGTTTGACACTGACAACTAATCACACACAGATGCCATTTTTTAAATTGAATCTATGTTCTCCAGTAGTAACCACCACTCTCCAGGGTCCTTGTGCTGTCAAGAGGGGACACTAAACGTGTTGTCATGCTTGTATATAATACAGCTGTAGCATTTAACCAAATATTTGTTGGTTGTCTTCTCCTTGCTTTAGGGATTCCCCCCCCCCCAAAATAGTATTTCTGATCTTAGGTACAGATAATAAGATTACAGGAAACTGACCACAATTATTTCAGCAATAGAGATACTGTAGTGCTGCCTTCTCATTTCAACTCCAGTAAAAAATGTCTTTTGGGGAATTCTGCATTGTAAGAAGCTACTAGAATGAATATTCTTGCTATTCTGGTTCATTTCAATGCAAGTCTACCAAAAATCCCAACTCACATACTAACAATAGCTTATTTTAAATTTGTAACTGTAACTTGTCAGGTTTTTTCCCTTATCCCAACCCTTCACATGCTAGAAAGGCCAAAACAAAAAATCAAGTGGATTAAGTTTGGGTATTGGCAGAGGAACAAAAGTGGTAATTAGCAGCGAAGGGGAAAAAGTGTTGGGTTGGGTTTGTTTGTTTGTTTTTGGCGCACCTTAAGAAAGTTTCTACTAAGCACTTACCTACGTTAGAAAAATGGATCAAGATTCAGTTGGTGTATTAACTTACCTCAGTCTAGCCACACCCTTTTTCCTATCCTGGACACAATGCAGTGCCTTCTACTTCAAATAAGTAGGTGAAGGTGTGCTCAGGTAAAAAGCCAATCCTACACCTTGACCCGCTCAGTCAAGGTAAAACGGTGTTGCAATGTATATACACTAGGAAAAAGGTCATGGTTAGGAGAGGTTAGTTAACACACCCTCGCCTGCAGACAATCCTGTAGAGATGAGCTTGCTATGTCCGTAATATACCCAAACTCTTGATACCAATGGACCAAAGCCAAAAAATGGAAGTGAAATATTCTAAATAGCTGTGAAAAACCTTGTAAATGTATCGGACTGGCCCATTTCTTTGTCCTTGAAATAACATTTGCACTTGGTAAGTAGTATTCACTTACTGAAGCCAAGATAGAGCTGAAAACAGGAACTTTTAAACTGTTTCCATAGGCTTCATTTTCTAGACTTATTTACAGCACAATTCCTGACAAAGAACAGAACGAAGCCAAAGAAAACACCACTGAAAAGCTAATGAATTTCAGAAATCTTTGCTGAATGAAATTTCTCCACCTATTAACATTAACACCCACATTTTAGCAACCCATTTATTCAATACTGAAACAACTATATGTGAAATGTTCTGTGATTAATAATGTAATAAATCCTATACAGCACAAGTCCTATTTACAAATGAGATTTTTTTTTCAAAATGTTTGACATTGGCCTAACTCTGCTCCCACTAAAAAAAATCTCCCAGTAACTACAGTTGGAGCCGAGATAGACCAATGCTGAATACCTTGGAAAATCCCACCCTATAGCGAAACAAGAAAAAAATAATTGAGAGCATTTCTTTCTAACATTCTGGAGAGACTCTGCAGCAAAGGTTCCCAATTATTACAATGACACTTCTTTAAAAGATCTTCCTAAGCAGCAGCAAGTGTTAAAAGTATTTAAGATGCAGATACTGCTGTGTCCACTTCATTGTATCATACAAAGGGTCAAATTTTTCAGACAGGCCTCCAGAACTGCGCCTGCAGATATGCACTGGCATGCAAACATGATAAGCAGTCATTTGCAGGTAAACACACAGAATTTGTGGAGATACATTTCCCAGGTGCTTCTGAAGGGCCACTCAGAAAAATAGCTTTAGAAATATATATTTCAAAATAGCTGAGCTTGAGTTTGAAAAATAAAAATAGGGGGGGAAAAAACCAAACACAAAGTCCAACCAAGACAGAGTATCTGGCATGAAATTCTAATTAAAAGTAAATGCCAGTGGAGCTGCTAATCTTGTACGTTCCTCATTCCACCTTGCAATACCTTGCATTTTTCACTGTCTGACTAGTATAGTTGTCCTATCTAGTGTCTTTAGACAAATTATGCCCAATTCAGTATTCTCTGTCTGGAGAACATCTGCCTACACTCAAAGAGGGAATGTCAAGTGAAGTTAGCAAAACCTGTGGATTTTGTCCAGGCAATCTTAACCTGCATGATAATCTTGCTCAGAAAGCCTTTAGACACTGGAGTCTTGAGGCTAGACGCTTGTGACACCAAGCAGTGGGAAAGCAGGTCACGTTTTCACACAGAAGCACAGTTTTGAACAAAGGCACAGACATTCTTCAACACTAGGAATGCCTGTTTTTATGTCCCACCTCTAAACATTAAAAATAACTACTACAAAGAAAACATCCTTCCTCTGTTTCCCTTTTAAAAACAGCTTTGGGGTTTAAAGAATCAAAGGATATTCAAGCTACTCCTACTTTTAAGTTTATTTTTAGATCTTTTATTGATTTTGGGTGAAATACCATTTACTTCACTGGGGCTGAGATTAGATTCTGTCTATGCTAGCAGTGGTGTGTAGGCTACACATAGCTAGAAGGCACAGGGAAAGGCAGGCTGTGTCACTGCAGTATATAGCTACACGAGGCAGCAAAAGCCTGTGGAAGTGGGGAGGCACTGGGGAAAGATGCCAGCAGATCCCTGCTGATGCAGCCTTTTCCCAGGCAGTGCAGCAGGAAAAGGCTCCAACAGCAAGATGTTACACTGCTAAAAATGGCAGTGTGGATGTGTGAAACACTGCTTGAGCATGCAGAGCACCACTTACAGTATATACCTTGGAGTTCAGGTGTGAGGAGGACTCTATTCATCTAAGCTATCGATGCTGCTATTTATACCTGTGTTAGCTGGGTGTGCAGTCTGTATATTCCACGTGCCACCACAAGAAGGGATGCAAAATGCTGTTTAATTAGTTAACCAGTTAAACATTTAGTTTAATCAGTTAACTGATTAAATGGGGGTGGGCGGAGGGTGCTCCAGCCTGGCTGCTTCTGGTTCCACACTAGGCTGCCGGCTCCCAGCCTCTTGCAGGGCCGGAAGTGGCAGCCAGGGGGAGCACCACAGGGGGGCTGGGAGCGGAGCAACCGTCTGCCAGTAGCCAAGGTAATGGTTAACTGTTACCTGATAAGCATCATTGGTTAAGGGTGATGTTTACCAGGTAATCAGTTACCTGTTCACATCCCTAACCACAAGTGTAGATGTACCTTTAGACTATCTCCCAAAGATAGTCTCCAGCAGAGATGGCTAGTATAAGCAGTCCCAGGGTTTAAAGCAGGCTTTTTAATTGTTCGGGAGGAACAAAAATAAGCCAAATGCAATCCCCCTGAAATAGAAGGTGTCTCCGTCACTTTTGGACCATTTGCTATAAAGTGATAAAAGAAAACACACAATTTACTTTTCTTTAAACTTTGTGTTCATTGTCCCCTGGTTATCATAACAGAATGATATGTTATAAATATGACATCAACTGGAATCAATGAATGAAAGACTACATAGAAAATAATCTAAGAGCATCAGGTAAAAATGTGCTGACCTTAAAGATCAGTATCATACCTGTGCTGCACATAGGCAGGGCTGGGTTTTTAAATATCCCACAATCATACAGGAATAATCTAAATTCAGCAGCTGAACAGCAATTTAAATATTTAAACAGCTAGTAGCTGTAAATAGCTACACTGGGAATCTGTTCTCTCAGGAGGTAAGAGATCAATTCTCCACTAGTCAGAGATACATTCTTTTAGCTCTGTTTCCTTCAACAGCTGAAATACAAGTCTCCATCAGCAGCATATTACTTCTCTGTCATCACTTTTATCAGCGTATTTACATAACTCATTAACAAGTATAGCAGCAATACAACTAACTTGTTTCTTACAAAGGTGTCCTCAAAAAAGAGTTAATTAGTAGACAGACATTTCAATTCTGTTGGGGTTTTTGTTTTACTTAGTGGGGATCTCTCACCAATAATTTCAAAGTGGGAGAACCTTCATTTTCTTGTGCAACAAGAGCCCTGAAATCAACAACTAAAATGGGGTCTGATTTTCAGAAAATGCTGAGCACCCATCCTCTGAAAATCAAGCTCCCCTGTTAAGGTGTGATGGGTTGGATCACCCCAAAACTGTGCCCTCCAAGATCATTTGCACTTTTGAAAACATAAACCTATTAGAATCTAGACCTATGTCACCGGAGAAATCAGAGTTTTTGCAAGGACTGCACTAATAGCGCTGAACATTCACATCTGCTTTTGCAAGTACTTTATGTATTAAATATGAATGAAACATACCGCTCCTCTGGAGTCTCCACATGAAATGTTCTTTCAATTACTGTGGTCCACTGGAGGCATCTAATGATGAATGTGTTTGGTTTAGGTCGTTCTGTCTTCATCAGCTGGCATTCTACCACAATCAAGGAAGAAAAAGTCATGGTACATAAGCAGGTTTAAATAATCATTTGTCTTTATTCTTATCTAACAAACTGTTGCAATTAATCAGCCACAGAAATCTCTAAGCACTTTTTTAGGAGGCATAAGACAGTTTGCTCTGCAGATGAAACCAATAAATAGCTCAGTAGATAGGCATTTAAGATTTGCTTGAATCAAATTCTATTTAGAAAGCCTTCAGAGTTGACCAGCTGTACATACAGTATAATACTACTAAAAAGACCTAGGTTATGTCTACGCTGCAGTTCTTTTTCAGAAAAAGGTACGCAAATTGCGGTTCGCAATTTGCGTACCTTTTTCCAATTCTGTTTTTGAAAGAGGCTTTTCCGACATTTGGCCTGTCTACCTGGGAAAGATCACAAGAGACATTCCCGTCTACCTGGGAAAGATCACAAGAGACATTCCGAAAAGGACCTTCTTAGCTTAAAAAAGCCACTCAGACAACGGATCAGTTTCCAAAAAAGGGAGCGCGTTCTTTTGGATGTCCTGTATTCCTCATTTTATGAGGAATAAGGACGCTTTCGAAAGAGGCACATGCCCATGTTGAACTCTGGTGACAGCTTTCACCACTGCAGATACTGCAACTTTACACTAACAATTCCACAGAAGTACAGATCATTGCATAACATGCGGAAACTGTACAGTGGACTCCTTATACCATTATTCATACACACAGCACTTTCTTCACAAAATTATTTCTACATCTCTTAATGGCATTGGTCCTCTCCCCCTCCATCCTTCTTTCTTTCAAAGCAACATTTAGATTTTATGGCCATTCATCTTGGGACAGCTTTAAAATTGTGGGCTGAAACAGATGTGTACTAAGGGTAGAATGGCTGCTGAAGCTGGACAAACTCAAACAAGGACAGTTAACTATCAATCTTCAGGCTATGTTAACACATTTTTGTACCTACTTTTCTGAATTGCATTCAGCAGAGTTTTAATAATGATAAAGTTCCTCCTTCTAAAGAAAACCTCAAGCATTAGCCAAATAAAACAAAAAGGCCCGAAACACAGAGATAGAAGAGTTTTTAAACATAGCTGTTCTTGTTCCAGTATCAAATTTCTTGCTCTGAGGTTTCTGAAAGCATTGCCTTACTAATATTTGGTCTTAAAGCTATAAATTAACTTCACAGTAAACATAAGGCAACATAAAAGTCAAGAAAGAATCTTGACTAATACTAAAATTTCTAACAGGTTCCACTTTCAGTAAGATACAATTTAGTAATGTGTACCGTCATTCTAGATACATTCTGTTCTTGAAAGTATACTCTTACAGTGTTAGACAGATTTTATTATTGTGAAAATGCAGTGTCCCATTTTAAATTCAAGCTTTTAATTAGTACATTGTCTGAGAGATAAAATATTTACAGCCAGTGTATTTGGGAGATGTATTTTTGGTAATATATTTCATGCCTCATTTGCTGCTGAAATTATAAGCTTTTCAACAGGAAATGTTCCATTTTTCACACATGAAAGTCTAATTTTTCTTTAATAGAATGATGAGGATATACTTGTCCTACAAAAGAACTGTAGTAAAAAAAATAGAAAGTTTATTAATGAGTCATGCAAAGGTTTGATAAACAGCACTTCCTCATTCCCTAGAAAAATGAACATTAAAGAACCACCACAGACAGATGCAGTTGTGCTTTTTATTACGCTACCTCCACTCTACTGACTGTGATCCTGCAACGGCCACCATCTTTTACACCTGGGATGGGGCACTTTTTTTGGGACAGAGGCCACTGACCTCTGTAAAATCAGTCAGGGGCCACACAAGTGAGAAGCAAAAACCCCCAAACAAAAAACTGACATGGCCCCCGAATGAGAAGGAGAAAGACACTCCTCACATTCCCCTCCCACACCAGAGCCTAGGGGGACCCAGCCTAGTAGATTTTGTATGCTCCAGCCCCATGGGGAGGACAGTGGTGGGTCTGGAGTGCCAGCACGGGCTCCCCAATGCTGAGAGGGGCCCTGAGCCTTGGGGGCCAGCTCCAGGTAAACCAGAGGCTGCATCTGGCCCCTGGGCCTGAGATTTCTCCACCCCCACTGTAAAGGAATTGTAGTTCACACTGTATACTACATTAAGAGTTAACATGTTCCAGTAGATAGAATTCCATCTAGAGTCCTATCTCCAGCTCTGCAACTGACCTGTCGTGTGACTTTGGACAAGTCACTTAACTTTTTCTGGCTTGTTTCCTCTCTTATTTTTAGTCTGCCATGTCCAGTTAAGACTGTATACTATTTGAGCAAGGACTGTGTTTGAACAGCGTCAACCACAATCCTTGCTCAGGCTTCTAAATACTATTGTATAATAGAAACAAATAATACAGGCTATAGCTAAAGAGATTAAAAATGGGTGTTGTCTATGTTTATCCTTCTGCTCAATATTATTTTTAAAAGACGGTTCAGTAAAAAGTGTTACAAGTATTTAGTCAGCATCCTTGTCATGGATCCACTTGCTATATTACTTAATATTTATGAACAGATATTTTCAGTTAGCAGGGTAAATATTGCTGTAATACACCACGAAAACAAAAATTACTTAAATTCAGCATAACACTAGACTTTTCAGTACAGAGAACGGGACCAATTAAATGCCAACACATTTCATCTAAATCAGCATTGTCCATTGATATTTGTTAAGCTTGCTGATCCAGCAATCTTTAAAGCATGTAGCAAGATGAATAATAGAGATTTGTCAGTTAATAACCACTATAATTCAAGTATGTCACACAGAAGTGTTTTGTTTGGTGAACAATATGCTGTCTAATTACCCTGCTCAATCATAACAGCACATATCACAAAATGCAGAAATTTTTATTTTAACTGTATTACACTGAAGTACTGTACTATACAGATTTTTAAAAAATTAATCAAGTTACTACCTAATTTTCTGCAGATGTAGCTGAGTCTCCTGAACTTTATCAATGAACTCAGGAAATACCTTTGTCAGACTTAAAGGTTTTTTAAAGTGCTACTTGTGGTAGTTTACAAACAAACAATTTAGGACAGGTTACCATTTTTATGTCTGTACAGCACCGTGTGCACTTAATATCACTGCATAAATAAAAATTTGTTACAGGCCCTTTGATACAAGGTATGACTGATGCTACATTTTTATGTTCTGCTATAAAAAAGAAACCTCACACCCTCAACATCAGCAGAAGATGACTTGCCCATTCAGAAAATAGTCAGTTCTGTCAAGTGGATCAATACCACTTTCCTCCACTTGTAATAAAGTTTATAGTATAAATTGCAACCTGTTTAAAAATGATTTAAACTATCATCAAGAACCTCTTGATTCTTTCTTGGCATTTGGTCTTAAAATAAGTAGGACAGAAATTGTTTCTAACAGGAACAGACACCAAGGTATTCAAATGCAAATTACCATTTTGTATTTGAAAGACACTTAGTATTATCCTAGTGACTTTCTAAAATGTCACAATATTTGCTTCCTTAGCACTTAAGCTAAAAGCCAGATTATTTGTGATGAAGGTGTCAAACTCTGTTCCCTATTTAATGACATCACATTTTAATCCAGTAATGGTAAAGAAGAATCCTACACTCCCCACTTTTTTTCTTAAATGAAAAAAGGGGAAAAAAAGAAAAGGAGAAAGGTGCTTTAAAAAGGCAAATAAGGACTGTTATGTCTCATAGTACCCCTTCTTTCTGTGCTACTGGATAGACCTAGCATTCAATAACAAGATGCAAGTCAGAACAGAGTTCTGAATGCCACTTTACATCCGGATTCAGCAAGGTATCATTGGATCCTGGTAACTGCTGATAAAGTCAAGATATTTCCTGGAATCAGACTGTCTTGGGCAAAAAGTCCACAAATTGTAGTTTAGTGGGCAACTGAAGTTCTCCTATACCAGGTTTCTCAAACTCTCAGTCCCCAGGCCATCGCTGGCCAGAGTGATTGTGCAATCCAGCCAGGGACTCCCAGCAGGCGGCAGAGGGTGGAGGGAGAGGGTCTGTAATGGCCCTTAATCCCCGCTCTTTCACTTCCATCCCCCTACCATCCCGTCCCCAGAGGACACAGCTTCAAGGAGCACTGTGGGAGGCCCTGGTGTGGCACGACAATAGCTGATGAACCCCTCAGTCCCTGCCACCCCCACATTCCCTGCAGTGGCAGGATCCGTGGGGAAACAGAGTGCAGCTGAGTGTGTGCATTTGCCTAGTGTGCTTTGCTTCCCCGCAGCTCCTGCAAGTGACCCCTTAAGCCAAATCATTGGGGGAAAAGGTGGGGTGATGGCGGGATGGGGTTGGAAGTAGGGGCCGATAATGGACAGTTCCCCCGCCTGACAGGAGTCCCTGGCCGAGGACTAATGCCACTAACCTAAGCCATTTATAGCAACTGAATGTATTTGTTACCTACCAGTGTGAACACTAAAGTATTTAACATATTCCAGAAAATTTCTGCATGAACACTTGTTTGCTGTAAGATCTTTTATCCCACCTCTCTTGTAGTGAAGGAAAAACAAAATAAATTACCAGTAAGAGCAGGAATCCAATGCTGCATGTCTGTGGTTCTTGCAAACTCAGAAAGATTAAGCATCAGTTTTTATGATATAAATTGAAAACACCAACAAGTGTTTTATAAGAGAAAACTTCCAAACCATATATGTGAACTACAGAAACAGATGAACGGACATTTTAAAGGGGAAGGAAGACAAAAAGAAAAGCAGGATTTTTCTTTTTTCCTTTTTTAAATAAAGGAAAGACTGATTTTGCAGAGCAGAGTTTTCAGACAAGCTTTCTTAGAGAGTGATGGGATCAAAGCCCCTTCCATCCGAAGCATGAACGTCTAAGACTGATCCTATAGTAGTGAGGGGCTTGCAGACTGCAAGACTATATATGCAACTTACTAACCACATCTTTACAAAAATTTATCAGACCCTCAGTCTTATTTATTCTTCCTCAGGAAAAAAAATCAAGCTAGTCTCTAATACCATCTGCCCCCTTCCTTCAGCGTGTTATTCTCACATGTGTAACAAGAGATCTGACTTATTCATAACAGAGTTGAAACACTCAATATCTGAGTTCTTGCATTTTGTTACAAATATGAAAATGGTCCTATTTTCATTAAAAAGTATTTTCTTCTTGAAGATTATACTACTTTGAGTGAATACTGAGCTATTTTTTCATGGAAAATATGAAGATTTCTGGCAGCAGTAGAGTGTAATTTTTGAGCAAGAGTAGTTTTGCCATGAAAAATCTGCACTGTCACAAGTTTTTGATCAAGAAACAACCACCTTGTTGAATTTCACTTAATAGCAAACATTTGGAGATGTTAAATTACTGAAAACAAATTGAAAAGTTGTATGCAACAATCTGGGGAAAGCCTATCCCCACTTCTGCTAGAATCAATCTTCCTGGAGCCACTGCTAGCTATGCATACCACACTAACAGAGTGAAAATTGTATTTTAGGCCATGTTCTTTATCTGATACATGCAAAAGCAGCCTGAGTTAACTTTATACATTTGGGCAGTGTCTTTACCCAACTATAAGCATGCTTCACAAACTACCAGACATCAATCCTAGACAAATGAAATGAGAGATCATATTTGAGGAAAGACATAGGTGTGAGCAGGCTCAGAGGGACAAGAGTGTAACATAACTGGTCCTCAAATGCCAACAGCATGCAGGTGATGCCCAGTTCTACTTACTCTCCATATAAAACACTAAGGATACGACTAGATTACAAGCGTCTTTCGAAAGAGGCTTTTTCGAAAGAATCTTTTGAAAAAGCCTCTTTAGAAAGAGAGCGTCTAGACTACAGCTAGTACAGCACCCACAGGCAGTCTGGATGCTCTTTCAAAAAAGCACAGTTTGCGTTCAAAAGAGCACTTTCGAAAAAAGGCGTTCTTCGTAAAATGAGGTTTTCCGCAATCGAAAAAACTGCTGCATTCTTTCGATTTAGTTTCGAAAGAACGCGGTGGCAGTCTAGATGCAGGGGAAGTTTTTTCAAAAAAAGGCCACTTTTTTCAAAAAAATCCTGTAGTCTAGACACACCCTAAGTGCTACAGCCCGGTGCCTCAATGAAAAGTAGTTTGAACTAAGCTAAATGTGATCAAGATGGAAGAGAAATTCTAGTCTATATAGTTTTTTATACTATGCTCATCACCATAAAATTGGAATGCCTTCTAGTAAGGCATTAAGCAATGTGACTACACACTGGTCAGATGTGGTTTGTTCTCTCACACTCTCCACAGGAGAAACGTGCAGTTGAGAGGCCTCTCTTGGTAGGTTTTTCATAAAATAAATTTGCCTATTGAAGGCACGATCAAAGAAGTGTGCCTTGTACTTGGAGCTGAAAGTGGGGAGGCTTGTGAGGTTCCTTATTTCCTGGACATTTTCATTCCATAGCCTTGGACTGGCCTCGGAGAAAGTTGTCTTCCATTTGGATAACTTTTACTCTCAATAAGTGCTCCACTGGGCCAAAAGTGTTGTCAGCTAGGATCTTTGTCCCAAAGCTTTAGATGGTCTTTTAGGTACCCTGGGTCCAGGCTGTGAAACGTTTTGAAGATAGGGACTACACCCATTAATTTGCTTTGAAGCCAGAAAAGAGTGTAGAACCATTGTGATATGTTCATGCACAGGTCGGCCCGTTGATCATCAAAATAGTTGGCAGCCTTAGGATCCTGTCGGACCCTTCATTGCCACTGTATTTACAGATACTAGCTGTTGCCAAGAACACCTTTCCTCCACCTCCCCAAGCTAGCTATATCCTATGGTGGATCTGTGTCTTTCTGTAAAATCCTCATATACCATGGTAATGAGCTTATTATATATGCCTAAATTAACAGGCTTGATCTGCCAAAAATCCTCAGAATCCTCAATGAAGGAATAAATTAATCCCGTCTGAATGTGTTATGGAAAAAAAGAAGAAGAAAGAAGGCAATACAGAACACTTTCAGACCTTAGCACTGATCCTTACTAAATAATTACCATACAAAATAAAGGTAGCAGCAAACTTAATGAAGGTGTTAATCTTCTTGGTTTGTATCAAGTGCCTAAAAAATACTGCCTAGGATTTAAAGGCTTTTTACTGCTTTTCTATACTTTGTTGCCCTATAAGGAGAAATCAGCATAAAGAATGAAACATTATAGGCTCTGACACTGCTGAGGTAAAAATACTAATTATCTCTCTCCGTGGACAGGCTTGGCTAGACAAAAGGCCCCAAACATACTCTCCTGTCCTTCGGGACTAATGCAACATGTGATAACATGCTCATTTTTTATTTCCAGCCTCACTGCATCTTAAAAATAATAAAATTAGTGAACATACACCTGTTGGGCACATGGATACCAAGGCTGGCAAGCGAACAGATGGCAAAGCAATAATTCCCAAGACATTCTTGTGTTTTATAGGGTTCAGCATGCCCTAGAGGAAATCTGTTTGGGGATTCATTTTTGTACCAGATCATTAAATGGTATCTATGTTCTTCTAGATATGCAAGCTCCTTACCCCGACTCCCAGGTATGAAATGTTCATTGCTGCTCCTCATGCCAAATTTCACTACATATCCTTACCCATGTAAGGACACTCGGTGGAGCACTGTCTATAACAAATACTACATGATTCAATTTGTAAAGCTATGGAGAATGAGGTGAAAAGAAAGGTGGACTGCATATCCATGTGAGGAAGATAGAATAGCAGACAGTGAGATGGAACCAAAGCCAAAATAGGGGAAGCACAGGTAAAGAAAATTTAAGCAAGTTAGATGTATTCAAGTCAACAGAGCCTGATGAAATTCACTGTAGGGTACTTAGGGAACCAGCTAAAGTCATCTCAAAATCAGCACCAATTATTTTTGGGTATTTTTAGAGATGATGGGAGAAGCCATAGTAACGATCCTTAAAAAGGAGAACAAGAAGGACACAGGTCCCGACTGGTGGAGACAGACTGCAACTGCCTATCAAAATTTGTCAAGTAGCCCCTCTGCAATGATTGCCCACTCCTGAATTAGAAGATAACAGGATTATAAAGACTAGCTGGTATGGATTTGTCAAGAACAAATCCTGCCAAACCAGCCTTATTTCTTTCTTTGACAGGGTAATTGGCCTAGTAAATGGAAAGGAAATAATAGAGGTGATCTATCTTGATTTTAATAAGGATTTTGGGGACAGTCCCACATGACATTCTTATAAGCGAACTAGAGAAATGTGGTCTAGATGAAATTATTACATGGTGGGTACACACCTAGTGGAAAGAATATACTCAGAGAATAGTTCCTTGTCAAACTGGGAGAGTGAATCTAAAGGGGTCTAGTACTATTCAATATTTTCATTAATGACTTGGACAACGGAGTGGAGAATATGCTTATAAAATTTGCTAATAAAAGAGGACACACAAAGCTGGGAGATATTGCAAAAATTTTGAAAGACAGGATTAGAATTCAAAATTAGCTGGATAAAGTGGAGAATTGGTCTGAATTCCATAAGATGAAATTCAATAAAGACAAGTGCAAAGTACCTCATTTAAAAAGGAAAAATCAAATGCACAACTACAAAATGCAGAGGGAGGGGACGGGACGCTAAATGGCAGTACTGCTGAAAAACCTCTGGGGATTATAATGCATCATAAACAGAATGAGACACAACAGTGTAATGCAGCTGTGAGAAAGGCCAAAGATCTGGGGCGTATTAACAATCGTGTTACATATAAGACCCAGGAGGTAACTGTCTAGTTCTGGCTCTCAAGATTCCTTTCAGCCCTACATTTCTATGAACATGGTAAAGAATGTCCAGAAGGGAATTGTATTTAGGTTCTTCTGCCATGCCTATCATTGGGGTCCTGAGTGCAGTAGATGAGGCATGTATTGCGGGTGTTTGTGTATGGCAGCACTAGGAACAATAACAATTTCTATTGTGCCCTACACTCAAAAATCCTCTGGGTGCCTCTAACATTCAATTTTCATTTTAAAATTAAAAAATAACTGAACGTGCACCATTGATGTCAGGTCTGATCCCTGCCAATGGAAGTAAATGGGAATGATTTCAACACACTCAGGCACAAATCTATACAGCAATCATTTGGTTTAGGGTTGAAAGTCCCAAGTTTGCAACATTCTTAATCTAATACTATTGAACGGGATTACTCGTGTTTAACTATCTTGCTGAATGAAGGCCTACAAGTTAGCTATTTTTCATAATGCACAAAATAAAAGTAAAGGTAAGATAGTAAAGAGTATTTTATACTACAACTATAAACAATATTTAGTAATTTCAAATAGAAAAGAGACTGAAAAATAGTAGTGAATTAAATAATCTAGATGTGATCACACCACTGCATTAATCATTTGTAGAAAGCTACAAAGCAGATTTAACACTGTAAAATCTAATATTGCATAAAATGAAAACTTTGTATATGTTTTCATAGAACATTTGTCTTGAGCTGATTGTAAACAATATCTTTTTAATGTTAAATTTAAAAGGCTATGTTTACAATAATTCTGTAAAACCCACATAAGAATGAGAGGGCCTGTGAAAATGCTTACGAGCTACGGAGAAATTATTTAAAGGAGATTCCCGTTGGTCAACATCCTGCGGTCGCTCTTTGTAGCCAATGAACGTGCCATCGTTCTTCAACAGAAAATATCTCGGCCTCCATGTCTTTATATATTCTCCTGGGAAAAACAGAAAAAACAATCAAATATGCCATACATTATATCCCAATTCCTTATATCCCAGAATTCCAATGAGAACCTGTTTAAAATACTGATATTGTACATCCTCTTAATTCAGAAGGCATTTTAATTCACTGTTTGGGTCTGCTGCAGATAATGGAAAAATAGAGGCATCAATTCAGATATTGACAGTAAATTTAACCATAAAATAGGACTTTGTAAAATTAAACAGCTATATATTTCCCTCATCTATGCTTATTTCATTCAAATTCTGCAACAGCTGCCTAAAATGCAATTTAAAATTTAAAAATCAGAGCAGATGTCCTATGTATTATTTTTGCTATTGTCATTTTTCATACTGACACAAAGAGTTTTTTTCATTTACATTTTGCAGCGCAAGTATTTTAAACAATAGTGGGTAATTTAGTAATTAGTCAACTGCTTTATCAAACCAACAATTATTTTAGAGAATAAAAAGGCAAATTCTCCACTGACATTACATAACACCACACACTCATTTAAAGAAGGAACCACAGGAGAGACCGCAACGTGAAAGGTAAAAACCTAACTTTTAGTGTGCAAAAGTTCTTGCTCTCTCTTTTCCGAAGATAACATCCCTACAGCATACCATACCACTGGCCGTACACATGCTTTAGAGAGACAGTGTATAGTTACATGTAAACAATACAGCCATACTCTAGCAACAGAAGCAAAGATCAAATCCCTAATTATTTATTAGGGAAACAGAGTGGTCTACTTGACAGGACGCTGGAATAGGATACAGAAGACGTGGGTTCCATTTCCAGATCTTCTACCGACATGCCGGGTAACCTTGGGCATACCACCTCCTCTCACAATGCCTCTGTCTCTCCTCTCACTCTTTGCCTATATCTATTTTAAACCATCTCTCATCACTTTTCTGCAGCACCTAGCACAGCGGAGTCCAATTGCATATATGTAGGGCCTCTGGGCACCACGATACAGGTAATTTTTAAAGAATTATTTCTATTTCATTGTGCCTAAAGGCCCTCAATCTTGGTGTTATACAAATACATGGGTTTTGCACCAAGAAGCTTTCTGCATCACCTGCAATTTGCTAATCTAATTCAGTTAATAAAAAAAATGCAGGTGCACACACAGCAGAATTAACTTTAGTAAGAGATGGTGATCTTTGCTGGTTGTTAAAAGATTTGTTCCCAAATTAAACAGAGAAAAAAGACAAAATAAGGCAACACAGGTCTACTGACCAAGGCTCCTTTCTTCAGCTCCTTTCCCATCCCCCATCACCAACCCACACAACCTTTCCTGCTGTTCTGCTTTCCACCCCAGGTGATTTCTTTCATGATGATGTGTACTCTGCCCCAGGAACTCCCCTACAGCTGCCTTGCTTCTTCTCCTCTCACCACAGCTCAACTCTCCTTCTGGGATGCAGCCTATTCCAGCATCTAGCACCAGCTGTAGTACCTCTTCCTTCTGTTCAGTCTCCTACCTTCTCCCCCTTTCTCTGGCTTGCCACACAGCTGCCTGTCCGCTTTGTTACTACAATGTCTCTGTCTCCCCACCCCCTTTTATTCTAAAGAAAAAAAACAACACACTCAGGGTAAGGGAAAGGGGGAGTCTATCCAAGATGTAAAGGGTGATCTCCTGTATGTATTGGGACTGTCTCCTGGGAACATCTATTAGCACGGATAGAAGTATTACTGCAGACGGGGGGAAAAAAGACTGCATGCAATCTAGCATGTCTGCCTCAGTTTCAGGTTACACATTTTATGGTAACCTGCAACAGGTTTACAAATAGTCAAGAATAACCTGAGAAATTTCAGAAGAAATCATCCACAGGTGTTGTGATTGAACTTTTACATTCAAAATGTTGCATATACTTTTTTTTCTCTGAACATTAATATAACACTGGCAACTCTTGGGAATCAGAAATAGGTTATGAAACTTTCCACTGCTAAACCATCAGTTCAAATCCAGCACAGGTCAGTAGTGTCCAAGAGTCATTACTATCAGGCTGCTTAGACATTGATTGTGATGCAGAATAAGCTGACGGTCTCAGCTAAGATCTTTTTAAACAGGGGTTCCACTTGAGAAGAGCCACCCTTGTGACTAGACAAGGCAGATTGGGAGCAGCTAGCCAAGCTACTGGCTGGACTGTCCCTGTTTTGCGACTTGCTCTCTAGTACTGTTAGGCTGGCACCATCTCCAGTACTGAAAACATTTTTTACTTACCAAAGCTAATGCAGCTACTGACGTCAAAATAATCAACATCCACTTGTATGTTTCACCATACCTTACAACATAAACCACACTCTCATCCCCTCTGAACAATATATGACATTCAAATTAAAAACATACAAGGAAATAGGTTTCAACCATGGACGATTAAGCACCTAACAATTTTAAGGTAGCTCAGTTCCGGGGGCTTGAAAATCTTGGAAATATCTCTTTAATGATGAACTAGAGCCAGGCCTTAGCTAATCAGTAAAGGGATTTAATTTATCTTGGCATCTAACAGTGTTTCGATTCTGTGAGGTGCCCCATTCCTGCAACTTCAGTGTCTTCAGCATCTGTCAAAATCTGACCCTGACAATGCCAAAATTACAAATGATAGTTTTACCGTGCGAATTCACTAAGAGTAAGAGTGTAGCATTATAATCTGCCCTCTGCAATGAGTGGCATGAAGGGATGTAAGCAACTAACTGAGTAGTCGACACACTTGTTGACTAATCACTCCCTGCCTCTGCTGCCTTTAACAGAAAGAGGCAGCAAGGGGAGGGGGAGAGATGGGGATGCTGGGGGGAGCCAGCTTAAAAGGTAGTCTCCCCCACCCCAGCTCCAGCTCCAGCTTCATGACAGGGGGCAGGGGCGCAGTGGTGGTGTTCCACTTTTGAAATGTAGCAACAGCCCAGCAGGCTCTTGCTACATTTCAAAGTGGAAGCGCCTTTAATCGAATAGTCGATGGAAATTCCATCGACTATTCGATTAGTTGATTAATTTTAACATCCCTAGTAGCATGTAGCTACTCTGTCCCACAGAGAATCAAAGTCCCTCTCCTGTGTTCTCCCATTGCTCTAGAGAGGGAGGAAGTTACTTCACTTGCTTCATGGAGCAGCTCACTCCTAGGAATGCACCTATCCAGTAACTCTAGCCAGTCCCCTCTCACTTGTACAGGAGATGGATGGAGTGGAAGGGTCAGGTAAGTAGTGGCTGCTTCCACTTCCCACCACAGTGGGAATAAGGTCCAACAATGGATTTTTACTTTACTTTCTTCTGTAAGTAAGAACTGTGGCAACCTTTAAAATCAAAAGATGAGCAGGATTTCACACAAAACTGTACTGAGTTGTTACAATAGACATTTTACCTTCTCATTCCCATTTTAAATTTTATAATTTGATTTGATGTTTAAATTTAATCACTCCTGTATTTTTGCCCTACAGTTTTATTCCACCAATAAATTCCAGATAACCTAATCCCGCCAGGATTTCTGTGTTACCATCTTCTATATTCTTCTTTAGAAAGGGATTTTCACTTATTCATCACTGTAGTTGGATCTCTTTCCAGATCTATTTCTTATTTACAGACTAGAAGTAAATTTATAATTTTTTTTTAATGTTATGCTTGGTCTATCTTGGGGCCATAGTAAATTGTTGGCTTCCTTTGTTTTATGTTGACTTTTGTTAACCAATGCCAAAGATTACAACCAATCATTAAATAATAATAAGTCCAAAACCAAGATATCTTGATGACCTGCATCATTGTGAGGCACGGTGCAATAACTATAGCATGTGTGTCATTACGTAACATGCTCTTAAGTGACAGGATAAACCAGTAATGTAAAAATGGGCATGAAATGGACTTATCTGTGGTTATATATGAAAGTGATTAGAGAACCTCCAATATACATTTAATCCATAGATTAATAAAATATTAAGAAAGCTGATAATTCATCCACAGAACACAAATCTGTAGATAAAAATTTCTGTTTGTACTAAACAAGTTTACATTTCTATGAGATGCTCTATAGCAGTGGTTCCCAACCTTTTCCAGATGGGGACCCATAGGTACCTGGGGAGATACTTGGCGACCCTTTTGAAATGTAATGGCAACCCATATTTGGGTCCTGACCTATAGGTTGGGAAACCCTGGTCTATAGTAACTGCTAAAAACAAAAATCCTACATTACCCATGACAGCTGTCAAATTTTATCTCCCTTCAGAAACCATTCTTAAATATAGAGCAGATAGAAAATGTTATATGTAAAGAAGTTGGAAATTTAAAAATAAACAGCCAGAAAAGCATTAGAAATGTATGAAACGAGGTGAAGTTTTTTGTTCTTTTTAACTGTGTATGTAATTTTTCCTGTTTATTAGAGTACAGACTGATAATGATAGGCTATTTGAATATCTGACACAGAATTCTTAAGACAGATAAGATACAGAAATGTCAAAAATGCTTGGACAAAGTTGATTTAAAAAAATTTAAGAAAGCTTTTCTTTCTAGTCATGTATTTGGAATACTAGACACTGGAATATTTGAAGTGTGAGTTGACTTTTTTTTTAAAAAAAAATTATGTCCTGATTTTATTTTTTAAACAATTAATAGTAAACAAAAAGATAACACAAGTGGCTTGTATCAGTCCTATTGCTTCACATCCAAGAATCTCAATACATAGAAAATTCAAAGTGTAAGAGATGGAAGATATACCTTTAATGCAAAATGTATGTGAAAAAGAAAATTAAAATTGCCATTTTATCAGATAACAGTAACAAATAATAATGAAACACCATAGAAAACTGAACAATTTACAAAGCAAAACATTTTTTCCTCTGATTCATTGCTTGTGTAATGCTTTGGCAGTTGTCTTTGTTTTCAGTAACAGAATGCTAATAGTACAAGGAGAGAAAAGCAAAAGTATGATTTATAAATCCTGCATATAAAATGCTGGGTTTGAATAAATTCATCTACAACTTGTTAACTGAAAAATATGTGAAATATTT